ACTTCAATATATCCATGTGGAAGCCTCAAAGATGGAAAAATAAAGAATCAGAAAAAATCGAGAGTAAAAGATGAAACCACTCCCAGAAAAAATGCTTTAGACTCTTGAGTTAAGGTCAGTATCATTCAAGGAGAAAAGCAAGAACAACTAGGACCACTGCTGAGCTGCCTTGATCAAAGAAACCCAAGAAAGATAATATCCCAATGCAGCAGACTGTCCTTCATTGGGGTTTAGTGAACCAGGTGGAAAAGATACTCTGGGGACAACTGGGGTAAATCTGAATATGGACAGGAGGTTAAATGATGTTACATAATGTTTTTAACACTAGGTACAATCATGGCATTGTAGATACCATGTACCCTTGTAGAAAAATATCTATTTTAAAAGACATGTATGGGTGTACTTAGGGGTTTGATATTTACATCTTAATAAAATGTAAAAATATATGTGGGAACTATTAAATGCCAACTAATGTGTATATCAATGTTCATCTTGTTATTCTATTTTTTTTGATGAATAGACTTTTGGGTCACACCCAGGAGTGTTCAGGACTTACTCCTGATTTTTGTACTCAGGGATCACTCTTGGCAATGCTTGGAGAATTATAAGCACCTTAACCCCTGTATTATCTCCCTGGTCCTTTATTATTCTATTATTTCTATATATTGTTCTATATATTGGACACTTTCACGTTAAAAGGTAAAAAGGAAAGGGAGGTTCATGGAAATAGTTCAAAGGATTGGAGTGCCAGCTTAGCATTCAAGAGTCCAGGTTCAATTCCTGGCACAACATGGTCCCCCACTCAGCACCACCAAGAGTCAACCTCCAGTCCCCAGTTCCCAGTCATCAATAGCCCAATAGCCCCTGAGCACTACAGGGAATGACCCCCAAAACCAATAAAAAGAAAAAAATCCCCATGATGTTCTAAAAGTACTTGACATATAATGAACATTAAATAAGCAATAGCATCGGGACTATATCATCTGTAGAGAGAAAAATTTATATTCATACTTTACCTCCAAATATCAAAGCAGAACTTGGAATATGTATTTGATCATATTTGTATTTGATCAAGCAAAACTCATCTTTCTGGGCAGGATTCCTTCCTGGTGTGTCCCATCTTTGCACCCAAGCACGCAGGGTCTGGGGTGATACTCAGAAGGATGGCACATGCCTGGAGTGTGTGAAGTCTGTCTGTCTGCCTTTCACATGTTTCAGGAGCTGAAAATGTGAGTATTCTTTAATGAATTCCTTTGAAAGTCTTTGCTTTCTTTTCTTTTCCGATACTTCTTGCTAAGCGCCTAATTTCTCAGAAGCTGTTTTTTCACTGTACCATTTGAACACTTTTTTTTTCTAAAGTTAATCACTGATGGTTACTCAAACACAAAAATATTTTCTTACTCCCCTGAAGCATTTATTTAGCTTCCCAGTATAGATTTCAGTGTATTGACCCATGTCAGTCAACTCACAGAGGAGGGGGCAGTCCCCTCTGGTTTGCTTTTTTGTTTTGTTTTTGTTTGCTTGTGTCAGGGCTAGAACCCAGGGCCTCACACATTCAAGACAAGTGCCATACAATGAGCATCATCCCTGACTCGCCTTATTTTTTCTTTCTCAAATTAAATCAAAACCTATTTAATATCAGTCTACATTGATCACATATATTGCACCAAGCACTCACTAAACTAAATTTATATGTATATTATATATTTATCCTGGGATCTTAAAATAGCCCTATGCAAAAAGCATTTTTATCTTCATTTTACAGTTAAGAAACTGTAGGTGTAGTGGAATAATTTCTTGCCACTGTCATGCTCAGCAAAGCAGAAATGAACAGTCAAGCAACCTGGCTGTCTGCATTAAGTCCGACAGGTCCTTCCTGCCCCAGTGTCCCCAGCTGTGAAGTCCTATTGATTGACATGTAACTGGTTTTTATAGTAATGCCCTTTACTCTTCAGGACCTCAGTTACAGTCAACTGTATTCTGAAAATATTACTCACTGTAAACTATTTTGTGAGTGATCCCATTTACATGACTTATAACAGTATGTTGCTGTAAGTGTCCATGGATATGTTGTATTTATTATCAGTGATTGCTGTTAATCTCTTACTGTGCCTAACTTGTAAACCACCATACTTCACCATAAGCAGGGATAGACAGGAAAACACGTAGTGTGTATATGATTTGACTATAACAGCAATTTCAGGCATCCACTAGAGGACAATATCCCCCAGGGACAAAGGGTGACCCACTGCAGTCTGCGTTCAAGTGTAATCTCTTTCTTCAAATCAGAAAATATGTATTTATGTCCCCTCACAGCCACCTACTGATGTTGATGCTGAAGAGATGAATGTTAGTATTCTTTAATGAATTCCTTTGAAAGTCTCAACTTTCTTTCCTCTTCCTACACTTCAATGCTAAGAGCCTAATTCGTCAGAAGCTGGTTTTTCACTGTACCACCTCCCCTGGCTGTGCTTATCTGGCTTGCACACTTGCCTAGGTGTGCTCACTGAGGTTTGCCCTCCCTCAGCTGCAGCTCTGGAACACATGCCCATGGGGGCTCCAGGTCACGGCTGTGGTGCTTGTTGGGGGTCACTGTGGTGCCCACACACAAGCTTGGCAGCAGATCACACTTTCTGCCTGCAGCGCCTGAGGACCTATTAGCTGCTGTGCACCTCAGGGGTTGTTCCCCTTTTTGTGGTGCTCACACAAACATAACTATGGTGCAGCTGGAATTAAAATGTGTGAACACCACAACCAAAGCATGTGTAGACCCCCCCAGTTAACAGACACCAACTGAGGAAACAGTACATGATGTGGAAATTATACACACACACACACACACACACACACACACACACACACATATGCCAGAGAGACAGTACAGCAGGCAGTGCATTTGCTTTGCACACAGCTCACCTGGATTTGGGTTTGATCCCAGGCATCCCATCCAGTTCCCTGAGCTCCACCAGGACTAATTCCTGAGAGTAGAGCCAGGACTAACCCCTGAGCATCAATGACAAAGGGAGGACCAAAAATAACAGACACACACACACACAAATTGCAACTCAGCTCTCACCCACTGAGAAATATCTTTATCTGCCTGTGTTTTATCTGGATATTACAGTTAATTGCAGCCATTGTTACTTTTAAGGCTCAGTTTGTTCTCATTTTTGCTCAGCAGACATTCCTAGAAGTTGCCTCCCATGTCTTTTGAAAGGACTTCATTTTTCTTGGCTACTGCCTGGCTTTCGGCCATAAGATGTTTCAAGAACAGGAGCGAGAGAGTATAGAGGATAAGGCATTTTTCTTGAATGTGGTGGACCTAGGTTCGATCCTGGCACTATATATGGCCCCCTGTTTCACTTTCAGTAATGATTCCTGAGCATAGAGCTAGGAGTATACCCTGAGCACTGCTAGGTCCAAAACAGACAAAAAGATTTTCTAAGCATGATTCACTCCCAGCTCCTGTCTTGGTATCAATTACTTCTATGAGGAGCCTTGGTACCTTTTAGTGGGGCAGTGGTACGTAGAGATGAAAATCGGGGTAAGGAGTCATTGCTGTCTATGGTCACATCACCCTGAACGTGCCTGATCTCCGCTGATCTTGGAAGGAGTCATTGCTTCCAGGCCCTTACTTTGTAAAACTACTTTTCATTTCATATAAAGTTTTTACTCCATCTTTACACTCCTGTCATTTTACAGTGGCATTTTTGTACTTAATAACATTAGCAAAATTACCCATTTGTTTTCTCTTTTAAGTAAAAGAGTGGTTTTTTTTTAAATGTGTTTAGGGAAATGTGAATGGAGTGAGAGAGAGAGACAAAGACAGAGACAGAGAGACACAGAGAGACAGAGAAAGAGAGAGAGAGAAGTGGGGGACAAGTGGGCGGTGAAAGCAGAGAATGACTAAGACAGAGAATTCTTTTGGGAATTTATATGCAATTTCTCCAAATTGTGATGGCCTAAAATTATTCATCTGGATACTTTCACTAGCCCCATGAGGGCATCAAACAAAATGTTACTCAAACTCATAATCTTAATCTTATTTTTTTTTTACTTTTTAATTGAATCACCGTGAGGAAGACCTTACAAAGCTGTTCATGATTAGAGTTCAGTCATACAATATTCCAACGCCCATCTGTTCACCAGTGCACATTTCCCTGCACCAGTGTCCCCAGGTTCCCTCCCATCAACTCCCACCCCCACCCCCTGCCTGCCTCTATGGCAGGTGCAGGTGCTGTTCTTCCCTTTCTCTCCCCCTCCCCCTCCCTCTCTGTCTCTGTCTCTCTGTCTCTCCCCTTTTGGCCATTGTGGGTTTGCAATACTAACACTGAAAGGTTATCAAGAATATCCCTTTACCTACTTTTAACCCTCAGATCTTGTCCAGCGTGATCATTCCTGCTACTATTGTCATACTGGTCTCTTCTCTTCTTCTCTATCTTACCTGCCCTCAGCCGCCCCCACCCCCCCACCACACACACACACACACACACACACACACACACACACACACACACTCTTTAAAAGGAGGAAAAGTGACCAGGGGGGCTCAAGGTGCCTCTAACGGGGGCCAGCTGCTTCGGGACAGGAACCTGGGCGCGCTATTTCCTGCAGTCAAGGGGATCCCCAAGGCATTAAAGGGGCTTTTCTGGGAAACAGAGGGTCCTTAGGCAGAGATCAAGGTCTGGAGCGTCCTGGGAGAACTCCCGTGCCTGACAGCCCAAGCTCCGCCTGGCGCCCACCTACCCACCAATCAGAGGGCGTCTTGAGCTGGAAGGTGGGACTACCAAGAAGCGTGTCCAATGAGGACTCAGTCTCGTCGCCGCAGGACAAAGTATCTCTAGAGTCGGAGTGAAGGGAGTCGGCGGGATTGGCCAATCACAATGGGGGCGACTCAAGTTGTCCGGGCCGTGGTAGCCAATCGGAAGGGCGCTCTCCGCCCGCCCCCGCCCCCGCCCCCGCCCCCGCCCGCGGCGTGGGGCGGCGGGGCTGCAGACTGTGGCCCCGCGAGGTGCCCTGGCCGCTCCTCCGCCTCCAGCTGCCCATCTCTCGGCCGTGCGAGCGTCCGGCGGGCCATGGCGAGCTCGGGCTGCACCGGCCTGCGCGGGCGGGAGGAGGACGAGAGCTTCCTGTATTTTGCCTACGGCAGCAACCTGCTGACGGAGCGAATCCACCTCCGAAACCCCTCGGCCGAGTTCTGCTGCGTGGCCCGGCTGCAGGTCAGTGTCCCCGCCCCGTGCCTGCCACCCCACGCGCTCGCCCGGGGCTCCAGGGTCCCGAGAAGCCGTTCCCCCAAGCCCCGCGCGCGGTGGGAAGCGGGCCCAGAAGGCTGGGGCTCCCGAGGGCCGTGCTTGAGGGTCCTCCTGGCTGTCTCTTCCTGCACTCCCCGTTCCCCCCAGGTCACCCCAGCGCCCCAGACCCCCTTCTTAACGTGGCCATACCCCGCGCATTCCACCTGATCCTGCATTGGTGTCTCCCGGAAAACGGGGGACTGGGAGGGGTCAGGGCATTCACCCTGGGCGGGTCTGTGCTCCAGAACTGCTCTCCTGGCATTGGGTACACCTCTTTCCCTGTCCCTGAGCTGGGCCTGAGAGGTTCTGGAAGCTGGAATGTGCATCACACCCACCCTCACGCCTGGAGTCAAGTGAGTCTAGAAGTTGATGCCTGTCTCAAAGACCACTGCTCTTCCGCCCAGTCATTCACTGAGCACGTGTTCTCCCATTCCTAGACATAAGCAAGATCCAGTGTTGTGCGTCGAGGGCCTTCCAGGCTACAGGGGGAAATGTACAGATAAGTCATGCAGCACACCCAGTGCTATTCGTGGCGACCAAGACCATTGGGAAATGCTGCTTTCTGCTCGTGTCCTTGGTGTTCTCAGTTGCACTAAGGGGCCAGAGAGATAGTACAGTGGGCCAGAGAGATAGTAGGGCACTTGCCCTTGCATGAAGTTGAACCAGGTTCAATCCCCAGCAACCCATAGGTTGGATTCTCCAAGTCCACCCAAGATTGATCCTGGAGTGCTGAGCCAGGAATAAGCTCCAAGCACTGCTGGGTGTAGCCCCCAAACAAAACAAAACAAAACAAAAAAAAAAGAAAGTCACCGATATAAGCAGAAATCCTGTATTGAAAGGGTTCTTTGAGAGCCCAGGATTACCCGGAAGGTTGCATCTCAAAGCTGACCAAACAGGCAGGCACAAAGCACATGTAGCAGCTGTTACTGAGCCACAGTGAATGAACAGAACCTGCCCAGGGAGCCACTGCTGAACTTGCAACCGTGAAGTCTGCCACTGTCACTGCACGCTGCAGTTCCTAAAGTCTGGAGTGGCCACCCCCAGGAGGGGGTTGCTGTTGCCCCTGGGCATAAGTTTGTAATTCAGATCACAATGAGGTGGGGGACTAATGGGCCAAGTCTTCCGCAGTGTGTCATGCCCTGACCTCCGGCAAGCTGGGAGAACCGACTTCTGTCATTGAAAGCTGCTAATTGGGAGTCAGAAGGTGCAGTATCTTTTAGAGCAGCCCTTATTTTCATTCTGTTTGTATTTTATGAAAATACTGTGTTTTTGTGAAAAGATGTGCCACCTTTCCAGCTCCTGAGACAGGGAATTCCCCAAATATGGCAGAGAGCTTCAGATGCTTATAATCTGTGCTTATAATCTGGAAAAAGGGGGAAAGAATATCAAGTCTGTGATTTTTTAGTTACAGGAATGGTCAGTCTTAAAAGGGAGGCATGCCTTCCTTTCAGTTTTGCTGTGAATCCAAATGAAAAGAAATGGAAGTCTTCGCAGCCAGAGGGAAAGTGGTTAGATCTTGCATGAGAAGGACCTGGGTTCAAGTCCCAGCAACTCATATGGTCCTCCAAGCCCCATTGGGAGCAATCTCTGAACACAGAACCCGGGTTAAGCCCTGAACATTGCTGGGTGTGATCCCTCCATTCCCCCCCACCCCCCAAAAAAGAAGTCTTAAAGTAATGTCAGGAGGGGCCAGAGAGATAGTACTGGGTAATATGCTTGCCTTACATGTGGCTGATCTCAGGGTCACTCCCTTGCACCCTGTATGGTCCCTGGAGCACTGCCAAGTGTGATCTTATCTAAGAGACAGGAGTGATTCCTGAGCCCCACCAGTGTGGCCAAAAAAAAAAAAAGTTCCCACTGTGCCAAAAAGGGAGAGAAATATCCCTTTAGGGATATTTATTGCTTTAGGAGTGTATGGATTGGGGGTTTGACCCAGCTGAGATGTTCTGTAAAGTCCTTCCTGAAATTCACCTTTTATGCTGAGACTAGAATTATTTTGATGGGAGGGGTCGTAGCTGGAACAACAACAACAACAAAGCAAAATGGGAGGAATAATGTGTACGACAGACCCAAGTGTGGTCTAGAGTTTGGTGTGTGCCGTGAGACTGGTGAAACAGGAAGGACGGCGTCTGACAGGTACACAGAGTCTGGAGGAGATATTGGACTTTATCTCAAGGATCCATGCCGAGATAAAAGTAAAGATCAGATCTATGTCTTTGAAAGCTCATCCTGGTTGCATGGGAAATGTGGATGATGTGGACCCAAGGAGCAAGCTTTAGCAGGTTGAAGCAGAGCTGGCCACAGACAGTGGCTCGCTGAGCTAGAGCAGTGACTGCAGGGCAGAGAGCCTGGAGTTGTTAGGAGGCAGCAGCAGAATTGCCCTTGGCGTTTGGTTATATAAATCACCAAGGAGGCACTACTAGAGAAGATCTTAGGGGCTTCCCAAGCAGTGCTCAGAGGTTTGGGGGGCCTCTTCCAGGGATACTCAGCCAGCTGGGCAGGTGGTTTGGGTCTGGTGACCTGGTCCTGCTCTGGCCCAGCAGTGCAGAGCACCCTAATGGTGCTCAGATAACCGTGCAGTGCCCAGGATAGAATGTGGGACTTTGTGCATGCCATGCGTGGCCTCCAGCCACTCTGAGCTATTGCCTGACCATTGGCATGTTTGTTTTGTTTCCTTTTTTTTTTTTTTTTTTTTTTTTGCTTTTTGGGTCACACCTGGTGATGCACAGGGGTTACTCCTGGCTCTGCACTCAGGAATTACTCCTGGCGGTAGCTCAGGGGACCATATGGGATGCTGGAAATCGATCCCAGGTCGGTCGCGTGCAAAGCAAACGCCCTACCCGCTGTGCTATTCCTCCAGTCCCTGTTTTGTTTCTTTAGACGTCATTATCCACGATTTAGTTTTAGGCATACAATGGCTCAACACCAACCCTATCAACCATTGTCAACTTCCATCCACCAATATGACTTTTTTTTTTTTTGATAAAACAGGGTGGATGATGGTGATCTTTCTAAAGAGCAGTGAATCAAGTTGGAGAGGGAAAAAATCAAGATTTTGAAATCTAAGACTATTGAGTTTGAGATGTTTGTTCTATATCCAAATGAACAACATATGTGTAAATGTTTAATTTAAATTCACTGTGGGCTTGGTCATTTTCTAAGCACTTTTTAACATGGGGCGGCTACCTGGCAGTGCTGGGAGGCTGCTCCTGGTCCAATACTCTTGCTCTTGGGAGTGTTCTGGGGACCATGTGGTTCCAAGACTTCCTGCAAAGCATGTGCTTCAGGTCTTTGAGCCATCTCCTTGGCCTACGTACTTTTGAAGCTCAGTAGAAAGAACTCAGATGGATTAGAAGTTATTGAATTAGCCAGATAGATGTCTTTGCATGCCTACCATTCAGGATACTCAGGTTCAATCCCCGGCACTTCATGGTCCCCATAACACTGTCAGGAGTGCCCCCTGAACACGTGGCCTTAAGAAAAAGAAGGTGGCAATTGAAACCAATGGAGGAGATGAAAATGTCTTGAGAAAATTGCTGAAGGAATGGAGGAAAGGGCTGAAACTGAGCCCTGAAAAAATATGCACATTTTAAGACCAAAGAGTAGAGGAGTTGGCAGAATAGAGCTAAGACCCAGAACAGCCTGAGAGCCAGCAAGGAGGCATGGAGAGAGTGGAGAAGCCTGAGTTAGAATGAGCTGCAAAGTGGAACAAGATGAGGATTAGAATTTGTTTATTGGCTCTCATGTGGGGTTTCTTTTGCTTTCATTCCCAGTGGAGTTTTAATTCTGTCAGATTGCTCTATATCCTACCATAGATACTTGGTTCTAAAAGAACAAATACCCAGGATGCCAGTCCAAGGGCCTAGGAACTGAAACCACCTTTCCCCTCTAAAGTTAAAAAAGTGTTTTAAGAAACTAAAAGCTTGCAGGGTTAAGAATATAAATATTAGGGGACTGGAGCGATAGCATAGTGGGTAGGGCATTTGCCTTACACGTGGCCGACCCGGGTTTGATTCCCAGCATCCCATATGGTCCCCTGAGCACCGCCAGGAGTAATTCCTGAGTTCAGAGCCAGGAGTAACCCCTGTGCATTGCCGGGTGTGAACCCCCCCCAAAAAAGAATATAAATATTAGCTTTATTATTTAGTTTAATCTTTTGAATTTGTTGTGAAGGAAACGAAACACTGAAAGAACAGAAAAAAATTCTAGATCACTCATCCTGGTATGGATTTTTGAGGGGGAGCTACTCCCAGGGATATTTGGGGAAGCATTCCTAGTGAGACTTGGCCTGGCATTGCCCTGAAGTGTTCATCCTTAGCCCTTGAGGTTTGGGGGCCACACCCAGTATGACTTGGAGGGGTCTTAAGATGCTGGGGATCCAACTCAGGGCCTTTAGCATGTAAGATATGTATTCCCGGCCTTTGAGCCATCTCCTGAGTTGCAGTTTCCTTTAAGTAGAGTCTCCTTTGCAGGGATGCTGGGATCCCTGGCAGTGCTTGTGTGCTCTGGAGGACCATGCAATGCCAAGGGGTTAAAATGAAGGGCCTTGTGCATGCAAGGCGTAAGCTGGCCGATTTGATCTCTCTGTCCCAACTTCCCCTCTCTCTGAGAGGAGACACTGAGCTAGAGACCTGGCTCCTTTGCTTGCTTCTGGTATACAGGAGAAATTCAAAGTGAATGTTTTAATTCTACAGAATTTTTAAAATTTATTTTGAAGAAAAGTTTATTTTGAAGAAAAACCTAGAATCAAGTAAATGCTCATCTATCATTTGGTTTCCTTTGTAGGATTATAAGCTTGACTTTGGCAATTCTCAAGGCAAAACAAGCGAAACTTGGCATGGAGGTATAGCCACCATTTTTCAAAGTCCTGGCGATGAAGTTTGGGGAGTAGTGTGGAAATTGAACAAAAGCAATTTAAGTTCTCTGGATGAGTAGGTGACTTCTAATTATATGTTAAATAATTTTGAATTCAGAAAGTGATCACATACAAGTGTGTTTGTGTGAGTGGGGGGGGGGGTTCAAAACCATATACCAGATATACTCTTTAAAGTATTAGGATTAATATAAACAGTTTAATAATGTGCATTTGTTTAAAAGAAAAACCTAGAAAGTTTATACATTCTGACTGAGATTCAGGGGGTCATTTCTAATCTCTGCTGTAAAAGGTGCAATATCTTTTATAGCAGCCCTTATTTTCATTCTGTTTGTCTTTTATAAAAATATTGTGGTTTTGTAAAAAGGTGTGAAAATTTCATCATTACCTACTTTTATTCTTTAAGTCAGCAGTTGAATCAGTTAAAAATAATATGTAAAATTTTAAAGCATGTTATAAATGCCTTGATACTTTTTATAAGAGATCTTTGAAGAGTTATGTATAGAACTTTCTGTAACTAGAATTCTTGAGAGTTGTGTGGCAGAGAACTCAATACAAAGAAAGTTGGCAGGAAAAAGTAGGACTTGAAAAGAGCTTATTATTTAACATATCTGATTCTTACTTCTTTGTGGACAAGAATAACTCTTCATCTCTTCTTTACTTTGGCTAAATACTTTCTTGCTAACACAACATATAATTCATTTTGGTAGCTGACAAAGCACTGAGTTAGGGCTAAAGATCAGAAGAAGAGTACTGACGTGTGATTGTAGATAGCATAAATTTTGAAGAGTTGTCAGAAATATGCTGAGTCTTAGACTTTGTAATGAAAATGTGAAATTTAATTTTGACGTTGTATCCACAAGTTCGGCAAAATCCCCAAACACTTGGAAAGCAAGTGCATGTGCAAATAAAGTGTTAATCGTATACCATGACTTGACTTAAAGACCTTACCTAGAAATTAACTTGGCCAAGTCCAAAGTAAGATTTGGCTGGTCTGGTTTCAGGCAAGAAGGTGTTAAAAGTGGAACCTATGTTGTAATAAAAGTGACTGTTCACACCCAAGAAGGAAAAGAAATAACCTGTCGAAGTTATCAGATGAGGAATTACGAGAGTGCTCCCCCATCACCGCAGTATAAACAGGTGAACTACTGACAGATTTTCGGTGATTCTTTTTCAGTTTTTGCTGAAGTAGAGACTTTATTGATTTTGTGTGCTTAAGTTATCTATGATCAAATTATTTTATTTTATTTTTGTTTTGTTTTTGGGTTACACCAAAACCAAAGAATCTATGGTGCTCAGGGCTCACTCCTGGTGGACTTGGGGGACCATGTGAGATGCTGGAGATTGTATCCAGGCTGGCCATGTGCAACACAAAAGCCGCCCTACCTGCTGTACTATCACTTCAGTCCCGATGATTAATTCATTTAATTTAATTAATTAATTATTGCTTTTTTTTTTGGAGGGGTCACGCCTGGTGTTGCACAGAGGTCACTCCTGGCTTATGCACTCAGGAATTACTCCTGGCAGTGCTTGGGGGACCATTCGGGATGCTGGGAATCAAGCCTGGGTTGGCTGAGTGCAAGGCAAAAGTCCTACCCGCTGTGCTATCGCTCCAGTCCCTCATTTTAATTAAAATGCTTTAAATATAAAATTTCCTAATAAGCAAAGTAGAAAACGACTGCATCACTTTGTAATAATAGAATTGTCTAAAACTCTTTGAATTTTAGACACATAATTTCTTTCTTAAAGTAGAAAATAGTATGGACAAATTTATTTTTATATTTTTAATTTTCATTAAAATTTTTCTTGGTTTGGATTTTGGATCACATCCACTGATGCCCAGAGTTTACTCCTGGCTCTGCACACAGTAGTCTCTCCTGGTGGTGCTTGGGTGACCGCATAGGATACCTGGGATCAAACCAGGTCAGCCTTGTGGAAGACAAGTGCCTTACCTGCTGTTCTACCTCTCTAGCTTCACAAATGTATTTTTAATAGACAAATATATGTATATATATATTTCATGAATACCCAGATTAATTTAAAATTAAAAATATTTTATGGTTAGCTTTTGCGATTGGGGGTGTTCTACTCCCTAGCAATGTTTGGGGTGCCAGTGATTGAAGCCATGCAGAGTATCACTTGAGTCACATTTCCAGCCCCCAAACTCACTTTTATGAGGAAGAATAGAGTTCCTACTGCTGTTATGTTTTCTGTGTCAAATGGAGAGGAAAAACTCACACACTGCCTTTCAGAATCAGGGAAGCCATTGCTATAAGTACCAGGAAAGAGTCTGGGCTAGAAATGTCAGCATCCCATTTTATAGCCCAGAGTTATGGACTATTGGCAGGTGCAGTCAGGATATGGATATACCTGGAGTAGGTAACCCAGCTTCAGCGCGAAATATAGATCTGGGAAGTTCCACTGAATGCCGCTGCCATTTATACCTCATGTTTATTGTAAATTAAGAGTAAATTCCCTGAACTTCTAATTTTTTGTAGAATGGTGTCCAATGGTTAGGTAATTTCTATATAATAGGATATGTAGTTATAATGGGCTGGAGCAATAGCACAACGGTAGGGCATTTGCCTTGCGCACAGCCAGCCCGGCTGTGCTGGGTTCGATTGCTCCGCCCCTCTTGGAGAGCCCGGCAAGTTACCAAGAGTATCTTGCCCGCATGGCAAATCCTGGCAAGCTACCCGTGACATATTCAATATGCCAAACACAGTAACAACAAGTCTCAAAATGGAAATATTACTGGGCCCGCTCGAGCAAATCGATGAACAATGGGAGGACAGTGCTACAGTGCAGTGCAGTAGTTATAATACAAAAATTCATTCTGTTGGGTAGAAGAGATAGAACGGGGGTGAAGATACTTGCCTTGCATGCAGCGGACCTCGATTCTATCCCTGACAACATGCACAGTCCCCTCGACACCATGAGGAGTGATCCCTGAGCACAGAGCCAAAAGAAATCTCTGAACACAGCCGGGTGTGCTACTTCCTCCAAAAATTTTTAAACTATTTTTTGTCATCTTAAGGCAAATTGATATTCCTAAGAATTCATGGTATAGCTTTGGAAACTCCCAATATATTCATGCTCAATATGAGAGGAATATTTCTTCTCTTTTTGTTTTCAATCGTTTATTCTACAATGTTCTGTTGTTATCTGAACACTGATATTTTATACTTTGGTACCATAAATAGTACTGTAGTCTATTAAATTATGATCCTAACTAATGAAAGTTATTCTGTTTATTTTGCCCATTTCTAGGTCATTTGCCTGGGTGCAAAAGAGAATGGTTTGCCACTGGAGTATCAAAAGAAGTTAAATGCAATAGAACCAAATAACTATCAAGGAAAGGTCTCAGATGAAATTGAAGGCATTATAAGAAAGGAGGAAACAAGAACTCATTAGAACATACTAAAATATGTCTAAGGGTGTTTTTCCTGTGTGCTAATCGAAAGCATTTTTAATGTTTTTAAAACAAATCAGATATTTCTGTGTTTACTGTATTTTCAATAACGGACTGGAGAAATGTCTCACTTGGGTAATTTCTTGTTTCAGACTATACAAAGAAATAAGGTTAGGAGTTAGACGATTGAGGGGCAGAAGGCATCAGTGGGGATGGTGAATGGATGTGGGTGCTCCTTCTTTGAACACTACTCAAGAACATTCTTGCACTGTGGTGGACAGATTTGTAGTTTTACTGATGGTGCTGGTGGGTCGCTCTGCTATGGACTGTTTTATGACCAGCAGAAGTGTAAGCAAACTAGACAGTTGACCAGAAAAACTGAAATTAAAAAGATGGCATTTGTTCTAATGAGAACAAATGCATTTGTGACTTAATCTGAATCCTGCCTAAGTGTTACTTTTCATTTAGGGAGCTGGACTAAAGCAGTCACATGGACTGGGTCTTTTCTGGCTGTATCTAGTCCAGTCCAGAGAAGTGCTCCGTGAGTTTTGACTACTCATGACTCCTCCTCACCCGAGAAATGCAACACGGATGGCCACCCCCAGAAACACAATAGATTGATCATGGTTGGTTGTTGCATATTCAGAAACCTTTCACTATTGCCTCCCAAATTTTTGTGACTCTGATGATCAGTTGCATGACATAATATGGGGTCATAATCCAATCTTTTGTGAAGCTTGGGAGTAGAGGATTATTGCAGACTCAAAACAGGTAGTCTCGGAACAAACATCAATTTCTCTACTTTCTAATGGAGAGATACTTGGGTATGGCTCTGTGCCTCATTTTTTTGGTTTGTTTGTTTTAGGGTTTTTTGTCTGTAGAAGAAGAGTGAAAAATACCTATTAGAATTATTCTGAGGAGTACATATGAGCGACTGAATTTAGAACAGTTGTTAGCCATCATTATTGTTCTTCCTGAAGAATTCAGTTTGTGCAAGGCCATCATTGTAAAGGGAGTTGGAAGCAGAAGAGTCGACATTATGAGGAGGAAATGTTTTCTGAAAACTTTCATTGGATTCAGGGCTTATCAAGAAATGGTCATCTTAAATGTATTTACTGAATGAATAGAGGAGAAGAGTCATTAATAAAACAATGCTGGTTATTAAAATATCTTCTCGGTCTCTGGAACACAGTGAGCTGAACCTTCAAAACAGGTTACAAGAATGAGTGAACTTGCCACAGGAGCATAAGCTAAAATTTTGATTTGTTCTTTTGGGGTGAAATGACTAAGGATTTATTCACTAAATAGTGAGGCTGTGCCATGGAGTACAGGTGAAACTACATTATATATATATATATATATTTTTTTTTTTAAGGGAGGTGGAGGGATTTTAGCACACTCCACCATACTCAGAGCTTACTCCTGACTTTGTGCTCAGGCATCATTTCTATCAGGCCATGAATGGTACTGAGGGTTGAACCAGGGTTGGCTGTTCAAGGCGAGCATCCTACCATCTCTACTAGCTCTCTAGCCCTCATAGACCATGTTTTATAGTCCTTACTCCTGTCAGCTATACCCTCCAATGTTTTAGTTTTATCCTAGTTTTAATTTCTTCCAAGAGAATCACGTTTATCTGGGACCCCTGCTCCCAATTGTGGTAATATAGTGAGCAAGACTCAGACTCACTACAAGCACAAAAAATGGAATATTATTACACTAACATATTTTACCTACATAAAATGGCAACTTTGAGGAACTGAAAATACAAACACTAAAATCTTTAGTATGCTAACAAAAAAATTGGGTGACTGTGTGGGGTATGTGTGAATGGGGAAGTTCCCATCACGGATGGGCTTTCACCCAATCAGAGCCGAGAATCACGCTGCTTGATTGAGAGGCACAAAAACCAGTTTATTCCTCCAAGCCAAGAGGACGACACTCAGGCTGGGGATTCACGAGTTTGAGAGGAGCAGCACAGGTGCCCAGATGGTGATCCTGAAACCTTTCCAGCTTCCTGATGCCACACTGAGTCCAGCCTGGGACATGCCAATGTGGTCCCTTGTCCTTACACAGAATGGCGGGAATGGGGAAAGAGGAATCAAATTGAAGAAGTCATCAGTTTTTCCACCCTGCAGCAGCAGAAGCTATGCCCACTTCCAAAAGGACTTTACTTGACCCAGTACATTAGTGACTCAGCACACATCAAATGCTATTTAAAAAATAACAATGGGGGGACAGAGAGTTGGTTCAAGGGTTAAACCCCTTGCCTTGCCTGTGGCCAGCCCGTTAGATGCCTGACATTGATGGTTTCCTGCGCATCACCAGAAGAGGTCCCTGAGAATTGTTGAGTATAGCCCACAGCCCCAAACAAAGGCTAACACTAACTATACTGGTTTTGTTCACAGGGTCATACTACCAAATGGTATATTGAGAGATTTTTGTTTCTGCTAGTGATTTTAGTTCTTCTAACCACAACGTAGTCAGCATTACTGGCCTTGCAAGAAAATGAAAACTTTGAGGTACAACCAATGCTTGTGGAGAGAAGGCAGTAAATGAGCTAAGAAGCTTGAAAGTACTGGTAGAGATAAGCCTGGTGCTTTGGGATGCAGATGCCAAGAGCAGCTCAGCTGGTGGGTGGCAGGAGCCGGCTGAGTTGCTGAGTGAAGCCAGGACTCACCCCTGCTGAGAAGCCTGGTGATTTCCGGCAGAGCAAATACTCTGAAGAACACAATCTTAATTTGAAATTAAGAATTTCCACCAAACAAGGTCATTTTCCAGCTAATGGGTTATTGTTGTGGACACAATTACAATTGTACAACTGGGTTGGACTCTGAACGTTGGTCTTATTTCTCCAAACCAAGGGGTACATAAGTTGTTCTTGCTCACTTCAAAGACGGGCAGGATGCTCAAAATATGACAACTTCACACCGGTTTACATCACCCCCAAGCTCGGGGCAAGCTCAGCAGTGATGCAGGACTTAGAAGTGATACAGTCTGAAGTCTGCTTTTTGGTCTCCGTGGTGGTTGGTGCAGGGGAGACAGGAGGGCGTCAAACTCCAAGTTCGCTTTCTGCCCCTGTGAAACAGGCTTTTTCTCTTTCTCTTCAAGCTAATTTGGTTAAACCAGGTTCAATGGCAAAAGCTTTGCTTTGTGCTTGGTAAATGACAGGGATATTAATCGATCAGTTTATCCATCTGTGTGAATATGTTTTCTTTCTTCATCCCAGATAACAAAATATATTGTCAGTGGGTACCTAATGTAATAATAATACCACTAACCCTAATAAAGACCAGGGATTATGGCTCTGTAGCATAGTACGTGCCTCACAGATATGAGACTCTGGGTTCAATTCCTGGTAAATGAGAGGGGAAAAAATTAGTCAGGAAATGATACATCATGAGTGAGAAAAAACAAACAAACAAAAAAACAAATGTACATCCCCAAGGTAGTAGAATATTTAAATCCTCTAAAATCAGACTGAAATGAGCATCTCAGCAGACATTCTCTTCTAGGGAGACAGGAGACAGACCACTATTCCTTTAGTTTAGTTACATACCATGGAAATCTCAGAAAACTTTACCTCAGTGATAAGAGAATAAAGAGAATTCAAGGATTTTAGTATTTTTAAAAGAATCTAAAAGAATGCGCGTGCATGCGCACACACGCGCGCGCACACACACACACACACTCACGTGGGGAGGGGAGACATTTCTCTTTTCTGTCTTGTATCTCCACACAAGACTCTTGAGGGTGGAGAGAATGCAACCAAAACTAGGAACCTCAGCCCACAGGCACCACATGGTACTGAACTTCCTGTTTGGGGGTCCAGGGCCCGTATCTCAGACTTGTAGTGTAAGAAGACAGCCTGATGGCACCCTCAGCACAAACAAATACCAACCACCAAAGCCTGCTGCTAGCGAAGTCCTAGTAACCAGGATTTTAGAGAATAAACTCTACGCCAAATGCCACTGGGAAAAATTACTGGCCCTGACCTCTCTCCTGGGACACCTGGAGAATTTAGGCGGGTATTGGGAATGGTCACCCCATCCCCTGCCATCCCAGCCCCCTCCTTGTTCTCAGAGCAGTTGCCTTGTGGGAGCTGGCAGCATCCAAGTGTAACACCTCCTTCAGGGGGGTGTCAGAGGAGGCCTTTGTCACCATCAGGGTTAACAAAGACAGCTCTCCTTGTGGTGTGGGTGAAAGAGAGTAAGGAGTGGGCAAGAAGGAGGCATGTTTGCCCTCTTGCCCAGGACTGCAGTGGAGGCCTTGGGGAGCTGGATACCCACCTCCACTCAGACCCTCCCTTGCATCATAATAGGAGCTGGGAGTAGACCTCAACTTCTGCACTGGGAGCCAATGTTCTTGCCTCTCTCTGCTGGAATGGCTTCAGAGTGTGCCTGCCAGAGAAGAACATTCTATTCTGATTTTGGGGGTGTGGGGTTTGGGGCCACACCCAGCTGTGCTCAGGATGTACTCCTGATTTTGTGCTCAGAGTCACTACTGACAGTGCTCTGTATCAGGGTTCCAACTGGGGTAGGCTGTACACAAGGCAAGAACCTTACCCCATGCTATCTCTCTGGCCCCAAATGAGAACATTTTCAGATCCACAGCCTCACAATTTCCAAAGCGTTCAGGTTTCACTTGAAAATCATTCACATTCTAAGAGCCAAGAGTACCCCAAACTAAATGAAAACATGGCTTGCTGCTTGAACAGACCATGGCAGATACCTTAGAACTAGCTGACAGATTTTTTTTTTAACATGCCATTGCTCTTTACTTATTTTTGTTCCCTCAATTCCACAGCGGTAGGGCGTTTGCCTTGCACGCAGCCAACATGGCCGACCCGAGTTTGATTCCTCCGCCCCTCTCGGAGAGCCCGGCAAGCTACCGAGAATATCTCGCCCGCACGGCAGAGCCTGGCAAGCTCCCCGTGACGTATTCGATATGCCAGACACAGTAACAACAAAGTCTCCAGTGGAGATGTTACTGGGCCCGCTCGAGCAAATCGATGATCAACAGGAGGGCCTTTACTTTTTTTAATTCCTTGTTGTTGTTGTGATGCTGTGGGTGCCATTCACGTCTCACTGTGGTTCTTGCAAGGGGTTGTGAATCAGGCTCTCTAGTGCTCGCACATGTGTCCAGGCCTCTCACTGTGGTGTGCAGCCCAATTAGCCCCAAGCATTTTCACGATCAACTTCATCCCAGATCCAAGCATTGCTCCGTCAGGCCTGTATGACTGGGAGTGCCCCTATTTAAAATAATAATGATCACTTGATCACTTGACATGCCGTTACTCATTGATTTGCTCGAGCGGATGCCAGTAACATCTCCATTCATCCCTGTTGCGTGCTAGCGTAGCCCAATGGCATAGCTCTTTAGATTCCTCTTTGAGAGACCCAAATAGCATTCTCATCCTGTGTTCGTAGTGCCCAGGTCTCTGAGTCGTATGTTAAAGCAGGAAGAACAGTGGAATCGAAGAGATGTGCTCAGAGCTGGAGGTTTTTCATCCTCTTAGTTATTTCTTATATAATAATAATAATAATAACAACAACAACAATGCACTACAGCACTGTCCTTCCATTGTTCATCAATTTATTCGAGCGGGCACCAGTAACATCTCCATTGTGAGACTTCTTGTTACTGTTTTTGGCATATTGAATACGCCACGGGGAGCTTGCCAGGCTTTGCCGTGAGGGCGGAATACTCTCCGTAGCTTGCCAAGCTCTCTGAGAGGAACGGAGAAATCAAACCCGGGTTGGCCATGTGCAAGGCTCTACCTGATGTGCTAATAATAATTCTAGGTACCTACTAGAAGATAGAAAAAAATAAAAAACAGAACAAACAAAAAGTAAAATGCCAGACCAACTCTAAGATATCAGGAATGAAACTTATTTTAAACACAACTTGTCAGAGTGGACTAAAAACATGACCCAATCTTATGATAATTGCAAGAAGCTTCAATAGTACCCATAAAAGCATTGGGAATGGGGCAAGGGGCTGGAGTGATAGTATAGCAGGTAGGGCGCTTGCCTTGCATGTGACCAACTCTTCTCTGACACCACATTTAGTTTCCAGAGCCCTGCCAGGAGTGATCCTGGAGTACAGAGTGAGGAGTAAGCCTTGAGTACCACCAGTCGTGGCCCAGCTCCCCTTCC